GAAAAGATTTTTTTGGGATCGCGAATACTATTTTCTATTTCGACTTTATATATTCATTTTACATTAGATTTGAACTCTTTATGTATGTGCTGGCCATTAATTAGAAAATTGAACACAGCAGTAAAATTTTTCATTACGTTTTAAGCCTTGACATGAAGGAGCACAGGCATACATTTTCAATAGAGTGGGAATTACTCAAATAGAAATTGGATTGTTTTTGTATCTTGCCTCTCATGATCGTCTGAGGAAAAATTTTGAGCCTTCCCTAGATTAAAATCGTTCCGCTGCCTATACCCACACTAACTATATTAATTACTAATCTAGTGTATTCTTAACTCTTTGGTAATGAGTCACTTATGCAGTTTCGCTGAATGGCGACTTGAAAAAAAAATAAAAAGAAGAACGACTTTTCATATTCAACTGTTAACTTGTAGAGTGAGATTGAATATTTGTCGAAGGGTATAACTAGAAATTCATTCATATGTTATTTTTTAAATTTAGATAAAAAGTTCTCCATTAAGATAGGGTGTCGATATTGGATATCGGAACATAGATTTCTCGTTCCCCTATAGTAGAACGATTATCAGTTTCCTTTGACTCTGTTGTGTTTTTTCCAAAATGATATAAAAAATCATAAAAAAATACAACTATCTATGCGTTATTTAAAAACAAAAGATGTAGCTGTCGTTCTCAATCAGAATTAAATTTTCATTATAAAATGCGCAAAAGCTCGTAGAATAATTGAACAAAGACAACGACAACAAACTATTCTCTCCGTTTCTATCAGAAACTAAGTTATTAGATTGTTCTTTTTATAACATGTACGATCACTGTCAAAATATCTCAATGATTAAAAAGAAAAAATAAACAAAACTAACCTTTTAGTCTTTTCTCGCAAAAATGACGAGCAATACACGGAATAACCAACTGAAAAAAAAAGAAAAAATAAACAAAACTAACCTTTTAGTCTTTTCTCGCAAAAATGACGAGCAATACACGGAATAACCAACTGAAAAAAAAAGAAAAAATAAACAAAACTAACCTTTTAGTCTTTTCTCGCAAAAATGACGAGCAATACACGGAATAACCAACTGAAAAAAAAAGAAAAAATAAACAAAACTAACCTTTTAGTCTTTTCTCGCAAA